ATCCCAGGAGTACAGTGTTGTCTGTGACTGGAGCTTGGCTTAGCCGACGGGGCCCCTCTCCACCCCTCATCTGGCTGCAGTGGGCCTCTAGTGGCCCTGGTTCTTGGGTGGCTTGGGCTCATGGACGACGGCGGCCGCCGACAGCCACGGCCCGATGGCCCGCGCAGAGCTCTGCTTGGCCACGCTGTAGTGGCTGATGACCGTGTAGAAGCGGCTTCTGGAGCTGGGGTCCTGCGACGAGTAGTAAGCATCCAGGGAGGCCGGGATACAGCGCTTGTGCTGGGGAGAGAGGGACAGAGTCAGGGCGGCGCAGAGACTGCTTCCACCCCATTCTGGGACATGGCCACCCCCAGGGAGCAGGTGACAGCACCTGGCCTGGGCCTGGCACAAGCGTTGTCACCATCATCGTCCTCAAGGCTGACACATCCGCAAGGCCGGAGAAATCAGCCTGATGCGACCTCCTGTGCTTCCTGGCTGTGTGGCCACAGTGGACACTGCTCCTCACCTGGCTGGTCTCCCTACTGCTTCCCGGGGCCACTGCCCGCAGCCAGTGGCTGCTTATCTTAGTGCCTTGATTTTATATCTGTTTCTGCTCTCCATCCAAAGCCTCCTCACAATATTGATATAATTGGATATTTGCATCGTCCTACACTGTATACATATCCAGTGCTCACAGAATAACAGCAATAGCATGACTGACGGACTAACTAGTGAACTTTAAGTACTCTCTACAGTTCTCTGTGGCCTGAATATGTCCCCCTGGGGGCGTATGGTCAAGGTCCTGTGTTCTACAGTCATCTGAAATATTCAACATTTTTGTAAGTGTATGTCCCCCGCTTGATAGAGAGCTAGATTCTTTGGGTCATTTGTTTTTAATTTTCAGGAATTACTTCTTATTTAAGATATATCAAATGTTTACAAATGTCAAGGGCAAACATATAGCAAGGGAGCCTGGTTCCCCACCCATCCCCTGGGTTCTGCGCCCCACTCCTCCACCCCAGGAGCCATTTCTCTTCACTGTCTAATTTTTCCTTCCGGAACTTCTTTCTGAAAATATAATCGCATGTGCTGCACGTCCCCCCCTCCACACACACATACACACACACTGTCCTCGCAGGGCCTGTTTCCCTCCGTTTTATCCTCACGGGAGGTACTACACATCCGTAGCTGGATGCCTCCCGCCCTTATTTTCACAGTTGCATGGAGTCCACTGTGTGGACACATCACTGTTTATTCAACTGTCCTCTAGGATAATTGTCACCAACCTTTCAGAACCTCAGCTTTGTACTAAGAACGGCGTCTTAGGAAGTTGCGTAGCAGACCGGAAGGTCACGTGTTTTCAAGGGGGGATGTACCACATTTGATCCCCTCACTTTGGAATGTTACGTGAGGTCTTAACCAAACACGTTCCATCTCCATTTCCTCGGATGTAAAGTGGAAGCAAAGAGATGGATTTTTCAGAATGGGCGTGCAGCTCCCTTGAGGGAATGGCAATGAAAGTGTCTAACAGAGGGTGTGCAATCTGATAGGTTCTCAGTAAAGGGTGATTTATAAATATTAGTGTCACCCGCTTTAGCTCCGAAACAAATTCTAACATCTGCAGAGAGCCCGTTCTCTAAAAGGCCCTTTGCTGACTGCTTCTACTTAAATTCTCTCCGCAAGGTCCCACGAAAGGCTGAGAGTGGGCATTCCCAGCATCCATTTTGCAGGTGAGAAAACTGAGGCTTGGAGGAATGAGACATGCAGACATTTCAGTTCTTCAAAGGAAGGGGCCCTCAGAGTGAGGGTCAGAACTGGGGGAGACCAGCTCAGGGACACCCATTCCCTGTCTTCACATCTCTGTGGGGCCACCGTGGGGAGAAGGAATCAGCTATGAAACCAGGAAGGTGCACACCAAGGCAGAGCTTTCCAAAGATGGAACACAGCGCATCTCGAAAGGGGGTGGCTGTCCCTCACTGCTGATGTGCAGTCCCTCTGGGGAGTGCCACCTTGGAGGTTGAGTCCTTCGGGAAATCTTGAAAACCCCGTGCCAGGCACATATTACATTTGAAACAATCTGCAGGGGGGTTGCCATACCCAGAATTTGGACACCAGTGAGAAGAAGACATTGATAAACTCTCCGACTGAAGTGGACAGTCACCTGGGGCCACTCAGCAGCCGGAAGGTCCTTACCTTATAGACGAACCCCTCTGGGCAGCTGTGGTCGTAGGTGAAGGCTTTGTAAACCACCAGGAACACTATGCAGGCGAGGAAGGCAAGGGCCAGGCTGACGAGGATGGTGACCTGGAGGAAAACAGAACTGAGAGTCACGCAGCCTCAGTTTCCTGCCTCAGTCCACACGCACAGCCTCCAATCCGAGCTGGCGGGAGGCCCGGTGTGTTAGAGAGAGCAGCGGGTACGGGGGTCAAAGAACCGGCCTGTCTCGGCTCTTGTCACTGACGTGCAGTGTGACCTTGAGAAAACCACCTGCACTCTTCAGGCCGATACCTTCTGAAGCGCCTTCTTGTGACTTTCCCCTCATTTACTTTTCCTGTTAACTGTGTGTGTATATGAGGGTGGGGCTGGGAGTGGGGGGAGATGGTCATTAAGCCCATCAGAGCGGCGCTTCCAGAACCCCAGCCTTCTGTCACCTCCACCCCGATGCCAGCACCGAATTCCAATCTCAGATATCAACTGCGTATTCCCCTCCACCTGCNTGAAATGAGGTCACTGTGTGATGACACTGAGCGCAGAGCCTGGCACAGAGCTGGTGCCCAGGGATGCGCACCATCTTCCCTCTCACCAGGCACCTGGGAAGGACGAACGCAACTCAGGATCTAAAATTGTACTCCCTCTGCCTGTCCCACGGCTCCACGTTTGGAATGATTTTTTTTTTCATGCCAAACAGACTGCATTCATTCAATACTAATGAATTTATTCTCTTATTTTGGATTCCGCAGACTCACGCGCATACCTACGGATGGGAGATAACCAGGGAGACCAAAACAAAGACCCGTGAGGCCTTTGTGGGTCTTTCTGGCTGACTCAGAAGAACAGAAATGGTTTCCTTTGGGTTTGATGAAATACTGGGACGAGGCGGAAGCGGCCATCGCGACGGGCCAGAGCTGGTCTGGAGCCAGTGCCAACTCTGAGAACAGAAGGGCCCTCCATTTTCAGCTCCTCCCCCTACTTCCTGCTGACTTGGGACCAGCTCTGTGACGCCTCCAAGCCTCGGTTTCTTCATCTATAAAATGGGCATTACAATGACCTCTAGCTCCCAGAAGCACTAAAAGTTGAACAGGTCACCTGCCTGGCTTTGGTCTGAAGCATGTCCAGTGAGGGAATGTACCAGAACAATTTCTGCCATGGTATTATTATCTCTTGGGTAGAAATTGCCGACCCTAAAATGGCAGGGTAGGTCTGCAGAGTGAGCGTGTGTTTTGTTCACTCCCATATGCTGTTTAATTCCTCAGGTGGGGCCAGTCCCTGGGGGGGGAGTCGGCTTGGTTTGTGGGCCAAGATGACTTCGTTGGAAAGGCTTACGATGCATATTAGGGGTTATTAAGCATGGTGTGGTCGTGTTAACGCTACTTCTCATTCATCCTTTTTAAAACCAGCTCCATAAGGTAGGTCTTTTCATTTTCCCATTTTATAAATGAAGACCCTAAGGCCCAGAGACGTTGAGTCACTTGCTTGAGGAAACTCAAATAATGCAGCATGGAGAAGCAGGATTTGAACTCAGGTGTGGTCCCAAAGGCCGTGTGCACTTTCCACTCACCCGGCTTCCTCTGGAGTGGCTGCCACTAGAGTGGCTGTTTGGAATGCAGAGATGCCCTCCGTCCCCAAACCAGAAAGTTGGCATTATCACGCCGTTGGGTCAGCCCCCCGTGGAAGCCCCTAAAAACCCATTAAAGAAGCCCATTCTCTGGGGCCCGCTCAGTAAATTGCCTTTTGAAAGGAAAAGGAAAAAGGAACATCTGCGGCCTCAGACTTTCTATGAGTAATAATTCAGGAGTCTCTTTCAGAACCCAGAGCAGAAACCCCCCCGCAGGAAGGAAGAGAGAGAAGGAGTGCATGTGACTCTGGCCAAAGCCTGCAATGCCTTAACATGCGTGGAACCCTTGAAAGAGAAAAGGCACAATTTAAATTGGAACATTTCAAAGCAATAACTCCTTGCCCGGTTTAATTTGCTATTGGCATAAGCATTAGAAAGAAGACATGAGGGGTTGGCGGGGGCCTGGCTTCTGAAGGACATAAATCTCGGGCCTCCTGAAGTATTTTTCATTTGGAAAGTTCAAAGCATCGGTCAACTTGAACCAGAGGATATTAAGACCTTTGATAGTGAACCTCTTACGGGATGGGGAAGCCGAGCTTACTTCACAAGGTGGTGTCTTTATAAGCAGATACATCCAAGGCAAAAGCAAAATGGAGACTGGAGCATGTGCAGTGAGGTCTAAATAGGCCGTCAGGCGGGAAGGCACCAACCTTTCCTGGTCAACCGGGGCGTGTGAACACAGAGCAGACGGGCAGCGAAGCCAGAGGAGAGGCCAGGTGTGAGGCAATGGGGTGCGCTGGGGACTGGCGGGAACACGCCCCATCTGCAGGGGGCAGCAGCTGCTGAGCCCCAGACAACGGCGGTCAAGAGCGGGAATGCGGCCCCACGATGGCTGATCTGCTCTTTCAAGAAAAGACGGAGATCCTAAACTGTAAATGAAACTTCCCAATTTTTAAACTGGGAGCTGCAGATACAAAACTATGCTTCTATTTTAAACCTTTCGTCAACCCTGTAGAGATGATCTGTTCTATCCTGTTTTATAGGATATAAGGTTCTCAAAAAGTGGTTGGTTCAAGATGAGACAGCGGCAAAGGCTGAAACCAGGACTTGCCCCCAATCTGGTAGAAGGGAGGTGATGAGGTCCAGGGTAAGTCAGGGAGTGGGGCTGGTCCGGGGCGGAGTGGGCAGCCGGCTCCCAGCTAGCACCCTGAGCACCTGTGACCAATTACAGTCCAGGGCAGGGTGGGGATTAAAGGGGTCAGGAGCAGGTGTCCACGAAACAGCTCCAAAGAGGCCCAGCGCCCTCCACTGTGCAGGAGGGATTTGGGGGTGTGAAGAAGGCCCTAGCACTTACTGAGCAGCTGCTACAAGCCAGGCACCGAGCTTCGCGGGCACTGCCTCACTGGGTGCACACACAGCTGGCTGGTGAACATGTGTTCATCCCCGTCTTACTGTGGGGGCTTCCCAGGGTCACACAGCCAGGCCGGGTTGGGCTTCTTCCTTCTAACGTTTGCTCGGCACACCTGGGCCTTCCTCCTGTCCGAGCTGCTGGGCAAGGAGAGGCCTTGGGGCGTCCACTGCCAGCTTGTCAATCGCCAGCATTTTGTACAAAATGGTCCAGACAGGAAGGCCCTGACAAATCTCACCAGGGAGTTTGCGTGAAGTGAAACTCGGTCAATTCAGACATCACACGAGCCTGGCTGGGTCCACAGGGATTTGTACCTACACATCCACCCCAACACGCAGACTTTGAGCCGCTATGAAATGTATTTACTGCTGCCTTGCCTGTGATATTAATTTATTATTAAGAAAGCAAGAGGCTTCCCAGGGTTGGGGGTAGAGGTGGTGTGGCCATTTCCTTGTGGCTGTGCTGGGACGCAGGGGTTTGAAACGGAAGCAGCGTGAGGTGGGAGAAGAAGCCAGGCTCTTGCACCAGACTGGCCTGGGACCCAGTCTCTGCTCCACCTTTTCCTGGCTGTGTGACCTGAAGTAAGTGGCACCACCTCTCTGAGCCTCTGGTCTCCTTATCTGCAAAAAGGGGATTAAGCATAACACCCCCTTGCAGGCGGGCACCCTGGAGGACTCTCAGGAACCCTGGATGTAAGCGCCCAGCAATGCGGGGTAGCACTATTTTCATTATTATTGAAATGCCTTCCCTAAGCAGTTGCCGAGAGAGCCAATTGTTTGACTTCCTGTCACTAAAATAGCAGGATGCCCAGCTGGACCTCTTCATTTCATCAGAATGATCTGTTGAGCCACAGCCTTAATTAACTTTCCCACGGCTTTCCTGGAGCAGGAACCCGGCCCTCACCTTTCGTCCACTCCCCTTGGCTCCAAATAATGGAAGTGCCTGTCCCTGATAAACAGTTCCAACTCCACAAAGACGAGCAAATCACCCAGCAGACACACAGGGCTGCACACACAGCCAGCCTGCGGGGCCGCGGAAACCTGTCCACAGAGCATGAAAGCAAGGGCTCGGAACCTAATGAAATTACCTCCCCTCAACCAAGTTCCCACAGCGGCTGCAATCTGGGTCCTGGTTTGTGTGCTTATTCAACTGCGACCTCTGGCCGTTCCCTCCCAGCAGCCCCAGCAGGATGCGCTGAGCATCACGACCCAGAGTAAAGAGTCAGCATCCTTTCGTATGTGAAGCTGCTCTTTGCAGGGATTGCAGAAAACCATGGGGGGGGGGAAGGGGGGTCGGAGAGGAAACGGATTCACTTGACACTTGTGTGAGCATGGTTTCTCTGGGCTTGGTAGAGTTTCAAAGCAGACCTTTTTTTTGGGGGGGGGGNCGTCACACTGGATTGGGGTGCGCTGTAATGACCTTGTTTTAACTTGATCACCTCTGTAAAGACCCTATTTCCTAATAAGGTCACGTTCTGAGGTAGTGGGGTTTATACTTCAGCCTATCTTTTTATGGGGGGGGGGACACATTTTAATGCACCACAGTCTAACAGACCTGGATACTTTCTCAGATGACCTTCGCGGCAACCCTGTGAGGCAGGGATTGGCATCCTCACTTAACAGATGAGAAAAGGGAGGCTCCGAGAAGGTAGTGTGACCTGCCCGGAGTCCCACAGGCAGGGCTGGGATTCAGACCCAGGTCTGTCCGACTCCAGGCCCAGGACTCTTCAGATGGCACTGATCTGCTGACGGCTCTTTCATTTTCTCTTTCAAGAGCTCACCGGTCTCAATTGTGGTCCCCCCCCCATTCTAATTAGTTGGACAATTTTTGGATAGAAGGGAATAAATTGCCAACATAAGAGGCACATCCTCTTAATCAAATGTGTGTTTAAAGCTGCAGGGGGAAAGCCACCCTAGTGGAGATGCTGTCGTCCTGCAGGCTAGGGGAGCTGGGATCCTCCAAGCCAGAGGGCAGGGGGCTGCAAGGGGGACGGAGAAGGGTGAGGGGGGGCCCACACGAACTCCACAAGAGGCCGCCACTGCCCGGGCGCTGGAGCAGCAAGGCCGGTTCGAAACCCAACACTTTCCCTCTCTGAGCCTCCATTTCATCATCTACAAACAG